TCATTCTCCCAGTCCCTGCTTTTGCCTTCTGTGACATGGGTGGTGTGACTGGAACATTTGCCAGTTAAGCTACTGACTAGCTCAGCCTTTGCTATGTCCTAGGTCACCAGGCCTCCTACTTCCTTTTAGAGAGGTCCCACATTTCCCCTGGTCTTCCTTTTATCACTAATGTAACAATAGAAGTTTTTGTTGTCCTAGATGTTCCTGCCCACATTTAATCCTATCAGGGCTTTACCTTTCCCAAAGGGATTTCTGGCTGCTTAGACAACCTGTCTGTATATCTCCCAGGCTACCTGTCTGTGCTTGCATTCTCTGGAGCCTTCCTTTCTGTCTTTGAATTAATCCAGGAGTTCCCCATTCATCCATGCAGGCATCCTGGTGGTTCTTCCTGACTTCCTCTTTGCTCCTGAGCTTCCAAAAGGTGATTGATCTCACAGTCTCAAAGAGTGGGACACAGGGCTCCCTTGAATCCAGGACAGCATTTCTCATTGTTATAGGGTGGAGGATGCCATGCCACAGCCTCTGCAAGAAACCCCACAAGCAGTGCAGTTTGAGGTGGGGCCAGCATCAGCTTTCAGGATCTGGCCTTTATACAATGCACAGCTTTTTAAGAGCCCAGCTGCAGTCAGAGGAGTTAGGTCACAGTTGTTCTCAAAGGAAGGTATTTTTGAGGAATGCCTTCTTCTAGCAAGTCAAATTAAGGCTGGAGAGCAAAGTGACACCTCAGGATACTGCTAACTTGCACACAGCAACATCCCAAGCATCAGCAGAGCCATGGGAGTTACTTTCACTGCCTCTGGACTCCACATCCCCTGCCAGGTTGGTGCTCCCCTCAAGCAGCACAGCTGCTGTCCTGAGCACCTCAAGCACCATGCAGCAGCAGGGATGGCAGAGCTGGACCTGCTGGGAGTTCTGCAATCATCTGTTACAAATGCTTGGGAAGAAACCAGCCAAAGCAGAAAGCCAGCATTGGAGCCTATGCAAGCTTCTGAAGCTGTCAGGGAGAGTTTCTGCTCTGTAGACCTGTTATTGTTACTAGCTCTGAGTACTGGGCACTTGCAAACCTTTATGAGAAGATTATGCAAGAACCAGCATTAAATTCAGCATGAAGTTTACTTTAACAGAGCAATACTCAATACACAGAAATAGACAACTCTTGCTCAAAACACTTCTTTTTAGAAGTCTGTTTTGGAGAGGTTCAAATCAATTAGTGGACTTGGGGAGACCATCAAGGTCAAAGACATAGGACCTATAAAGAAAATATAAACACAAAATGGACTAAGCCATGATATTAGAGAAAAACATCTATTAGGCTGATAACTTCAACTTCCTGTTAAGAAAAACAAAACAAAACAAAACATGCTTACTATTTAATATTGAGGTGATATTGCAAAACATGAGTATAATATCTTTTGAGTAAAGAAGAATTGTGAGTGCCAGATCACATCCATAATCTATCATCCATGAACACATTTATGGAGTGTGCTTTCCCTCAGATTCTCAGCTTGAATCCCTAGCAATCAATGAGAATATATATCACACAGATGTACAGGTTGTACATGAAAATATGCCACACAGAAGTCTTGAGAACTGAAGCTTTCTGCCTTCCCTGAACACCAATGAAATGTGAATCTGGTGATCAGAGTGATGTGGAAGAGTGCTGTCATTAAAAAAGACTGTGTCATTATCAGAAAAGTGGTTGCTGTTAAAAAAACCAAATAAAAATTGTTCATTGTAATAAGGAGTTTTGGTAACCCCGTTTTTGAGCCTTCCAAACAGGATTGTTGGGAATTTCTGCAGAAGAAGGGAGGAAATAATAATAATAATAATAATAATAATAATAATAATAATAATAATAATAATAATAATAATAATGCCTTAAAAACTTAGAAAAGAAAACAAACAAACAAACAAACAAAAAAAAACCAAAAAAAAACCCATCCCAACATAATAAACAAAAAACTAAAAAAAAAAACAAACAAAAAACCCCTATGAAAAATATTTCCAACTCTTGCTTCCAGAAATATCTTCTCAAACTGTTTCTGTCTGGTCAAGGCTTAAGCAAGTCTTAAAGGCTCAGAAGGTCCCTGAGTTCAAGATTTTACAAATTTAAATTTCCACCTCTCACACACACTTCAACCCCATTAATTTCAAAGAGAAGCCCTGAAAAATATAACAAACTTAAAATTTTTTGGTGGAAAGAGAGAAGTGTATAAGTTAATCAGTAAAAAATTAAAAGTTCTTTTAAATTCAATTCTTAATCTTTAAATAAAACAAAAAGCACAGCAGAAGATTTTAATAATTTCTGCTATTTGTGATTCATAATGTTTTAAAATTATTTTTATTTATTAAGTGATCTGCCTGATAAATAGGATCATTTATTTCTTACTACTTCATGGAATTACGTATATTATGGCCTATTTATTTCTGCTCTCATTTAGATTTTTTCTTAATCTCAGTTGTTGTATTATCTTTGTTTGAATTTCTCAAGCTTCAAGTAGTCTGCTTTTCTTGTATTTCAGACCATGAATCAGACTCCTGTACAGATTCAAAGGTTTTTTCCCTGCACGGCACTGTTGCAAAACAAATACTAAGCCAGAACAGACAGACTAAAGTCTATTTCCTAGAGATGATAGGCCCTGCTGTTTCAGTCACATCAAAGATGCAGTGGCTGGTGTGCTTACAAATTGCTGACAATAAATGAGGAGTTGTTTATCAGCTGGAGCAGTGCTGCAGATGTCATTGAGAAAATAAAAACCAGAGAGCTGCATCCAGTACTTCGGGCTGGCAAGCAGGTATTCTTTCACAAATCATACCTTACTTTCGTGTCTCCTGGAAATTTTGTACAACACTGTAAAAATTTTTCATCTAGAAAAATGCAAAGTGTTTAAGAAACCAAAGGCCACTTTTTTCTAGACACTGCATCACTAAGTAACTGGCACCCACTAAAAGACAAAAAGTTTCCTGTGGTGTAAGCTCAGACTGTGAAGGTTTCTAAGCAAGGATATGATAACCGAGATCCTAGGGCAGTTATTTATGGTAATTTCAAGCATGGAATGAATTGCAACGACCTTAATCATAGCAAGATGATTTCCTACTATGCCCTAGGGTATTCTGAGCTGACAATGCTCCAGACTTTCCTGAGGAAGCTGCTGGCTGGGTAGGCACAGGAGGGACTGAGAGGTAATACACGGTGAATCAGCACCCTATTAATGCGAATGATCACTTTTAAGACTGAAGACCAGAAATCCAGTCCGTGTTTCAGACAATATTTGACACAAGCTGCTTAGGAGGAAATAAATAAAAAAGGAATTAAATTAATTTTAAAAAATTAATCTCTCACCTCCACGATGAAAGATCTAATGGTAAGACAGATTTATCCTCATTTTCTTTCTCTGACAAAATAAATATTTAGCTGTCACTTAGAGTGGAGAATAGCGCCATTAAGAGAGACCCTTCTTGCATTAACTATTATCTGCAACTTGCTTCTTCACAAAGGAAGTCACTGGTTCAAACAAAGGATGAAATCTAGGTGTGAATGGGTGAATCACTGAAAAAGTATGTGGAGGACCTAACAACATGCCTTTTCCAGTGTCTAGACTCTTCCAGGATGCACCATTTTATGCTTTACAGTATGCTTAGGATGCTTTAATACCAGAAACACGAAAGTCCATGGAATGTAGGAGAGCAGACCTTTCAGGACCCATATTCTACATTGTGACACCTAAATTACCAGTTTTGTCCTACAGCTTCCCTAGCAAGGCATTTGCTTCTGCTGAGGCAAGCATGAAATCCAGAAAAGTGTTGAAAGGGCTTGTTCACATTAGCAATATTATCAATTCTTAATTTTTATTAATACTAGCTTAGAATCTACTTAGTCCCTAACATGCTTGAAATTTCTTCTGGAAAAATGGACTTATTCTCTCCATACCCATAGAATCATACAAGCATATGTGTACATGTAGATAGTACACAAAGTACACGAGGAGACATAGACATGCATACAAACACATACACAGACTCAGTCTTAGCTGCTTTTTTGGTAGTGGTATTTTTAACTCTAATTCACAGTTAAATGCTGCTTTTTGAAACACCTTTCAGGGATTTAGCTGTTAGGCTCAAATCTGCACAGCTGAAGAAGAGACAAAATACGGGCAGCCTTTTTTATTGAATTAATTTGATTTTTGTCTTTTGTCCTGCCAGCTATCAAAATTGTCAAATAAACCAGCTTTGATTCATAAATAATGGTTCCATTATATTTACTGTGCCACCGGTCAGAGTACCTGAAATTTTAATTCACTTGTTCAGCTAAATTTCATCCTCAGTTCACAGCCATAAAATTCTGTATTGACAAACTTTCAAACCAACTTTGACTCTGAGGTATCTAGTCAACATTTTTCTTCTGTGTGGATATTAGTTTATTGAATAAGTGGCATCTGTTTTCCTCCACATCACTGGTGGAGTAGGTATTTCCTTTTGACAGCTTTGTACGATTTATGGGTTTGCATGCTATGAAGAAAAATAGTACTAAGCAAAAAATTCCAATTCATTACCTCTTAGTACTTAATTAAGTTCATACGCATTGCACACTATAGGTGAACCCTGAAATGACTGTGACAGCCACTGAGCAGCAAGTTAGATTATCTTTGGAAGACAGAGAGACTTTTAATTATCTTGACCTCATTTTTTCCATCTATGATATTCATAAATTTTCATTCTATTTTGTAGCCTCCATCAGATGTACCAAACCATTCTAAAAACAAGATTATATCCTTAGCTATTTCCTTTTATCTGCACATTTAGGCACTGAATGTTTTTACAAATAGTGAAGGCAAGCAATAGTTTTTATCAGCTTACTTCACGCAGCTGCAGATGAATTATGTCATACAGGCTCCCCATAATAATGGTTTGGTTTTGAAAATGATAACAGCTTGATAAAAGAAGAAAGCAGTGGATCTGGCTATCAGTAGATACAGAAATAAAGAGAGCCTGGGCTTTACCTGTCGGGGTTCTGCGTACACACATGCATCTGTAAGAGGATCCGCTGGGTGAAAGTCTTAAAGCATTGCCCACATTTCCAAAGATGCCAGTCACTGAACTCAGAATTTAGTTGGCTTGTTGAAGTTGGGCTTGCAAGAACTCGTTGGTTTTTGACACTGATCTGGTTAAATCCTGACTCGATGGACCCAGACTTATCCAGGAGAGAAAAATTTCTGCTACACGGAGTCTGTGGAAATACTATGGATCGCTGTGGAGTGGCAGGGGATAGTTTGCTACTTTTATTAAATGGCTGTAGGGTGTCTTGTCTGGACATGGCCTCCATTACAGTCGAAGGGACATTCACTGGGAGAAAACAAGAAAAGTAAATAAGATCCTTTTTATGCCTTTTTAAAACTAATACAGTTTTGGGACACCAAAAAAATCAACATCCATTTTCTTGACACTACAATGAAACAGTTTTATTTTAACAAAGTAAAAAAAAAAAAAAAGGAAAAAAAAGAAAAGAAGGGCTTGAATGAGACAGTGATCCAAATGGATGGTGCTGATTTTGTGACACTGAAATGAAAATTCATGCAAGGGAGTGTCTGAGACTGAAAGGACCCAGAGAAGCCTGACTGTGATATACTTCTATTACACAATGAAAGAAAAAGCTGCACCACTTGTGATACCCTGACTCTGCATGCTACAATCAGCATGTCTGACTGCTATATCACAGCAAGTGTGAATTTTGAGAGCATGGAGAAAAAAGTCCCTGCTGGGACCCTCCTTGAGATACAAGAGGGCTTAAATATCTACTGCAGCAATAGTTCCCTCATCCTGCAAAAGGGTGGCCTCTGAGGATATTACACCATTAGATCTCACAGATGGTCACACTGTCAATGCAGTAAGAAGCCAGGGACTTCATCATGTATCTTATGCCTGAGGTTAATAGCAGGTAGGTCACCATGAAACACTGCAAAGTACAGGCAGAGAGATCTTCGTGCATCAGTTTCCCACCTACAAAACAGGTATAAAAATGTTTTAAAGTCCCATGAAAATTGTTTCTAGTCTTATGATCGTCAGTTAACTATGGCTTATGAGGCACTCAGATATTTCAGCGACAAATGCAATATGTTTTTCACAAAGAAGTGATTTAGTGCTGAATTTGAATGTTTTGTGATAAGAAAGGCAGGAGGTGAAGCAAGTAGAAGAAATTGAACAGCTGCCTCACACCTTGAGAGCCATATAGATCATACAGTGAATGAGGCAAGGGTCCTGTGGAAAAATAGTCATCTGACAAAAGCTTGCACCACAATGAAAAATAAATATAATTTAGGCCACTGGACTGAGTAACTTCTAATGCTTTCTAATTTTGGTAGACTCAGGCCCATGCGCTATTTTTTTCATGGAAATTTTTAATATGTTATTAAATATGTTGTATACATATAAGTTTCTGTACACAAATTTGGTTACAAACTGTTTATATATACAAATAGGTACATAGCATGTATTAAACTGATGATTAGAAACTACAACTGTGTTTTGGTAAATCAATTTTTCTAAGAGCAAACATGAGCAAATCATGATTTCTAAGAGCAAACATGAGAATTCCAGTTGTAAGCCGGAATCAGCCAATATTATTTAATGTAAAAGAAATACAAACAAACAAACAAAAAAAAAAATCCCCAAAACAACCACAATTTAATATTTGGTAATATTTTAAATCATGCCAGTTGCTTTAGAGTTCTGTTTTAATATCTATGATCAATCATAACAATTCCAATATTATATTACTAAAAGATATTTAATTTATGTCAGTTGAGGTCCATCTAACCTATTCTTTTTTGTAGTATCTGAGAACCTCATTTCTAAGTAGGTTTGCATCCATGAATCTGTCTATCTCAAGTTTCCAGACACAGAATACATCTTCTATGTCTCTTCAGTACCAGGAGCAATTTGTATACTATCATTTTGCCTCAATATACTCAGAAGATCACCTTTTTCTTTTATTTTATTTTCTTTAAATTGTGGTCATAGAAGTCCACAGAAGCAGTGAGATCAGGCTACTGAAGATCTAAGGAATATAGGCAGAACTTGTGCTGCTGACAATACCCTTGTGCAGAAGATAAGCAGAAGGTACATTCTGGGAGTTTAGGTGGGACTGAAGTCCTATACCAGTCTGCAGATGGCTCCATGGTCAGAGATTAATTTCATCTACTCATGTCAGTGTCTCTATGGATGAAACTCTGGTTTGTCTCACAGAGAAATAACAAGAGACAATATTTATAGATATTATCCATAATGATTTAAAAAAAATTGTAGTCTTGAGTTTCTGAAAGAAAAAAATAATATTTCTATATTGTACACTCCAGAGCATGGCTTTCATCAGCAAATATTTCTGCCAGAAACTAAATTTCTTTCAAACTTTTCTCAAACTCAGCAGACTCAACAGAAAACTCAAGATGAGAAAGGATGTTTATTTTCAACAGTTTAGTCCCTGCTATCTTGCTGTTTAATTGCTGCATGATTCGGTATTTAAGTTGCTACAAGACACTAGTTCTTCCTAGCAGTTCATGCTGTTTAAGTGTCCAAGTACAGGACCAAAAACATACACCTTATACATCATTTACTGAGTGTGGGCAGTCACAGAGTTACTTTAGACCAAAGTCAACGGGTCCATTCTTGTTTTCTCCCACTTTATAGATATATATAGTTGCCAAAATGGATGCAAGCTCTAACCAAGTCTCACACACAAGCAATAGAACTGAAGGATGTGCCTGGATCACTCATTTTTATTACAGACATAGGTATCCAGCACTAGTTTTTGTCTGTGTTAAAAGTAACTATTCATGCTTAGTTTCATGAGGATCCCTAGCAAACAAGAAATAAAATGTTGAGAACAGGTAAAAGAATGGATGAAAATGGGGATGGTCAGGATGGAATAGAGATTTATTGTCATTTCAGTGTGCTTACATTCAGCTGGTATTTTTAAAAGTGGGGTTTTATGTTTAACCACAAGGATCTAACCTCTTTAATCTGCCAGTCAAAGCTTTTCTCAATATGCTCAGAGGTAATAGAAAAAAAGAATCACCAACAGAGGCCCTGTGGGCTTGCAATGCATTACTGTTTTGGCAATACAGTGTTTTGTGATAGGTCTAGTAACAACTGAGAGAACCAAACAAACTTGTTTGCAATACATTAATTAATCACTGATACAGAACAGTGATTCTAACCATACCACAATTTTGCAGTATAAGTATATCACCTCACCTTAAATATACTGCAAATTTCATTAAACGTCATAGAATCAGAGAATCATAGAATGGTTAAAGATCATCTAGTTCCAGCTCCCCTGCCATGGGCAGGGACACCACAAGAACAGATTGCTCAAAGCTCCATCCAGATAGGTGTTGAAGTTCCAGGGACAGAGCCCCCTCTAAAATGCTCTATGATGTATCTGATTAGGCATGAAAGAGGAATTATGGCTTACACAGGTAGAAATGCAAGAAAGAACTTACAATTTTCATCTTGTGCAATGCACTGGAGAGGGATTCCAAAGAAAGATGTGTAGCTGTCATTGTACCACACTAACAGCTCAGTGCCCCTGGGGATATCTATACAAGCCCGGTAGAATATATTTGACCTAATCAAGAAAAAAGAAAACATGGCATAATTTAGGAATAGAGCATTCTCATCTTATAGTACATGGTATTACAGTAGAAATTCATTGTTTTGGAAGCATTTCTGCAGATAACTAAATGAATAACCTACTGGTTGTGTTAAAACCAAATCTGTCATTAGAGAAGGATTTTGTTCCTGTAGCACAGGCTAACAGCATTACAGACAAGTTGTATCTAGCATACATTAAACACTAAGGTTTCAGAAGGACCAAGATACCATTAAAATACAGGTATTTTTTTGCAAAGTGTGTTTCAGGGGGATTTTAGAATGGTACTTTCTGCTTACATGGTATAATCATCTGAGTGGTGTACACAGATCAGCAAGTACAGCCATTTAAACAGCTTTGCATTTGTCACCTGCAAAAGTTAACATATTTTAGGGTAGACAACATTTCTTTTGTGAAGAGAAATTAAATGAATAAATACATTTAGCAAGACCTTTGAGATAGTGTGTGGAGTGACCTTTCATGGCAGTAATACACCTTTTATAGAGAGACCTTGGGTTGTCGAAGAAAACAGACTTTGACTTAGGGGAAATAAAAAACTGGATTAATTGGATCATGCAGTGCTAAAATCTTCCACTACATGGAATGTGAGGGCAGTGCCAATGATTTAGTGTGTGTAAATCAGTGTTACCTTAAGTGTGTATCTCATTGTTCCTGTGAGAGAACACTGGGTATTTCTAGACCACTGAAGTGGGAACATGGAGGGGAAAAGGGAAAAATCCTTATGTCTTCAGCATAAAAAACAAGAGCCTTTTCCTGATCTTGCACTGATGCAAATAGCTTCAGAGTGATATTTCTGCAGTTAAGACATTTACATGGCAGCAAAAACTGTGCTAGATTAGAATCAGACACAGGATAAAAGACAAATGTTATCAGTTTGCAGTGGCTTTTCCCTTATGCTTCACATGGAACAGTAAAACACACTCCTCTGAGATGGATAGAAATTCAATATATACAAGAAGAACAGTCCACTCTTGCTGAAGGATTACATACCAAAGTGATACAGTCAAAGTACCAAGAAATGAACATTTTTTATAACCGCTTATGTAAGGCAGAAAAAACATCTACAGACCAAAAAAAAAAGTTAGGCCTCAACCAGTTTTCTGAGTGAAGAATTGCTACAAACATTATTCTGAAGTTCAAGATAAAAGTGTTTAGGGTTGGTAGGCCTTAAATTTAGACTTTCTATAAAGAATTGGCTGTAGCAATGCAATTTGTTCCTTGTATAACACTGCAGACATAAGGAGAATCTTCTACCACATTTTTCATGGCAGTGAGATATGCACTTGTCAACATATTTTGTCACCGCAAAGTGGCTCTTGGCAACAGGATCATAAAGATCAATAAAAAAGTGCAGATTCTCAATATTTTACTAGCAGCTGCAAAAATTTCATTTATCTTGTTATTTTCCTCGCTTACTGCCACCCTGTCTCAGGAGGGCACTGCTAGCTAAGCAGAACGGTTTTCTTAGCCTTCTATGAATATCTGACAAAAACTCTCCTCTTTGTGTCTCCCCTTCATCTTCCCTCCTCCTCTTTCTCCTCCTCTTCTTCTCTGTCTCTCTTTCTTGACAGAGCTTTGCATTTAGTTAATTCTTTCCACTGTTACATAAAAATGAAAATCGGAGCCACACTATAAATTACCGGCATCTCTTAACTTGAGAAAAATTGAGTCTACTTTGTACTTCACCCTTGTAACATTTCATCTCTCAGTTTGGCTTCCCTTAACATAAACACAGCAGCCCAGCAAATGAATGTGCTAAAACCAAATGACACACTTTGCCGCTGAAAGAGCAGGACTGTTTTTGAGCAATGGGTGGTCTGTGGGGCTTGGAGTAGGCAGGGAAAAAAAAGTGTAAGTGTACACCGTCCCTTACAAGTGTGCAGAGCTTCCAAAACTCGCAGCAATCTCTGCATGCTGAAGTACATCAAAGGGATTTTTCCCTTTTCGGATAATATTTCCTTTGCTGACATGTATTTAGTATTGTGGTTGGATGACTCATAAAGATAGCTTCATGGCGTCCCAACACAGTTGAAGCAGAACACATGCCAACAAACATTATTGTCAGCCTCAAAATAAAAACAAAACGTTCAGCTAAGGGTCAATCAATCAAGAGCACTTTGAAGAAAATTCCATTTAGATATTACAAATCATAACAGAATGAATTTAAACCAGCTGACTTTCTGTGAGGAGGACGTCCATGTACAATAAAAATTAGGCTGGTTTTTCAGTGTCCAACTTTTCTATTTTCTTACACTTGGATGCAGTCACTGGTGATGGATGCCAGTTTTTTAAATTGTGTTTTTGTAGTTCATTTTATAAAGATCTGAAGTAATCGAAAACAGATCAACAGAGGGAACTCTAAGTAAAAACTCCATCATGAAAGGAGAGTTGTAAAATCCACTTAATATTGACAGATGTGTAATGACTTTCTCATGTTCACTTTTCATTTAGTTTTGTCATCTATATATATGTGTGTACGCATATTTTTTTCTTATTTTTATATATGTATGTGCACGCACACATCAGCACATAGAGAAATAGTCCACAAGATACCTACAAAAATACTCTTTCATCACAACAATCTTTATTCATTACCCAGTGTGTTTCTTTAAAATCCTATGGTATTTTAGCTATAGATAGCAGATACCTAAGTATATAATAAAAGATTCCTAATGTATAAATAGGATTGTTATTTTTTTAACTGCAGCATTGTTTAGTCAACTGGCCAGAGAATAAAAAAGCTGAAAATGCAATTGAACAATTTTACCATTGTTAAATTGGATCCCTATGGGATAATCAAACTTTATATATTTCATTTTAGCTTGCTTTTGTATGTTTTATTTTTAATTTTAAAGGTAGTTTAAATAAGTTTAAGATTTTTCCTAAATAAAAGAAACTCTGCTCTCTAAAGCAACCAGCAAAAATCATTGCTCACTGCAACTGGCAAGCCTGGGGCATTCTTTGATGTGCTTCCTACCACATTTAATAAGGCCAAGCAGTCGCTTCTGATTCTAAGGCAAAAGGTTTGTTTATAACTGAGGTCATGTATTTATGTAATGTGTTGTCTGGGTTTTCTGCATATCTTTGCAAGTACAAAGCAAAATGTACCATAATTTCTTTACATTTTCTTTGCATTTTGACTTTCTCTAGCCAGCAGCATAAGAGGCACAAGCTCTAGCAGTCTTGGCCAGCAGGTGCACTCAACAAAAGAGCTCGAGGTGTATGCACAGCTCGTGGCTGACTCTCAGGATGCCTCTGGGTGCCACTTTTCCCCCTCCCCTATCACATGCATCCCTCTTAAGGGTGGAGAACTGCTTGTGTTGGCTTGCCTCTGATGAGGCTGTTTGAAACAGTGCAGAGAGCTCTGTGTGGCGGGGTGGTCACACAAGTGACACAGGGCTGCCCTCGCTCCCTGGAGCTTCACCCCATGTGTGCTGCCCCACGTCAGCACACCCTCCAAAGCTAGGATACTGTCTTTTCAATCAAAGGCAGCAGTACTCCTGATGAGCACAGCCTGATAAAACACTCTCATTTTGTGTCACTGAGTGAATGAAGAATCACTTTACCTGTACTGAACCACGGTTAAGTTCTGCTCCCCACAGTGCCGGGCACATCGGATGTACCTCATCCAGCTCGACTTACTGGGTTCTCCACCATCGATAAAGTGCTGCAGTGTCCCATCTTGGTCATATATCTGGGGGAGATGGCACAAGGTCAAGTAGTTAGAACAAATCATCAGCAATCGTTTTCACTGCTTTGCTGGTGTCTCTCTTTCCAGGACTTTATTGCCATGAAGTTTGTCATCCGTGTAGTGATACTTTTAGAAATATACATGAAAAAGCAGAAAAATATTTTAGGGGATACAAGTTTATCTCGTTTCTCTTATCAAGCCAATCTTTTCATATTAAAAATATTTGTGGTGTCTCAAAGATGTGACCATGTTTCCCAAAGAATATTTAACCGATTCTGACAAGCTGGCCTTAAATAATGAACTGCCAGATAAACAAGAAAATCTGGATGTAAAATGTGCAATAAAATGGCTGGGACATCTGAGCAAGGGGCAGTAGCAATCCCTAAACAAGGACCTCTTCCTTCACATCTCAGTTGCAGCAAGAGTATTTACTTCAGCAGCCTTACATGATATGTTAGGGAGTTGTAGGATTCATAATATCAAAACAAATGAGACTAGAAGGAAAAATGGAGTTGATGATGCCTTTTGGATCTCCCTTGAGACACATAATTTTTTTGAAGTACTGAATGAGAAACCAGTCCTGAGGGAATCGTTGTTTTCCTAAACATGACATCCCTACTAAGGACATGAGAGCCAGTTATGTTGATTTAAAAAAAAAAAGGTAATATGTTCGTATTCAAAAGTGGATGCTCCCTCTGAAGCCAAGAATAGAGTTGCTCTGGAGATTCTGAAATGAAAAGATAAATGTATCATGCATACCTACCCCCTGACTGCTTAAAAATGTTATCTAGATAGGTCTAATCCTACTAAAAGCGTGTGATCTCACAAGATTTTTATTTGTTTCACAATTCCTTTGGCAAACCTCACAAATACATCTGAACAATTAGGTACCTATCTGAAGTAAATCTCATTTTCATGCCTTTTCCTCCTCTATGAACACCATTTGCTTTAACATCCTTCCCCCAAAAATGTGATTCCCTTTGAAATTGTCTGAGCCTAAATTGATATCTTCTTGAAAGTATTAATTCTGTAAACTAAAGAGGGAGCACATTTATTACATTGAATTGAACATTTCTAGTATATACAGATTAACAATCTTGAATATCTATTTCAATATCAGGAGAATAATCTCAGAAATTGTGTGACTATATTTGATACTTTAAAAGAGAGTTTCCTATAGCTCACACAAAAATATACGTAGGAATCAAAACCTAGCTTTTTTCCTCCACCAACGGAGAGTGTCAAATTCAGGAACCAGCCTTGCTTTTGCTTTTGGCCAAGAGGGACTGTGAGTAATCAGGAGGAATATGTCCATTGCAAGAGCAGGAGAGACACAGGAATCAAGTATCTATGGCAATTCTTATCCTTTTTTCCTGAGTGTCTGTGACAAGGATCAGGTGAAACCTGGCCAGATACTCCTGTGCTGGATAAGCAAGATGCTACCCCAACATGCACTGAGTGGAATAAAGTCAGAGCATCAGGAGTCCTCAGAAGTAAACAAATACTTTAATCCCAGTGATTAAGTTGATTTTTGTATAAATGCTAACATGCTGGTTATCAGCAAGGACCTATTCTTAAGCAAATATCTTAATGTATGCTGAATATGTGAGCAAAATATGCTAAACTATAAAAATCTGTGAAGAAATTGGAAAAGTTCTACAGGACATCAGCATATAAAAAGGAAGAGAAGGAAAAATTAATGACTAACAGTACTTGGCTGAAGCCATTTTGGCAATATCTATGCAAACATTCTCATCAGTGTTTATTACCTATCCATTTACATGCTGCTTATTCACATAACAATATATATCTTAACACAATGCAAAAACAATTCCCATAAATAAAGAGCTAATAATTTCCTAATTCCCAGATTATATGAAACAGGAAAGATAAAAAGGTCTGCCATACTCAGTAGTGACACTCATGTCTTAGCACACAGGGCTCTACCCAGAGCTTTGTATAAATAGACAGTCATTAAATGATATGAAAAATTAAAATCTGTCATGACAACATGGGTCTTTCCTGGGCCTTGGTCTGGAATTGGAAGGACTGTGCTGTAAGACTAAGTATTTTCAAATACTTTATTCTGCAAGTATTGATGCATCAAGTGACACTATGCCCTCCTTGGGCATATTGGGATATTACTGACATTGCTGCATAGTCATAATTTATCCAACAGCATTCTTAGCCCTGTTCTTACAGAATTGTAAACCCATCTGTAAAGAAGAAGAAGCCCTAGGCTTGGAAGGTAAATAACAATACTGTGCTGAATTTGTCAAGTTGCATAATACAGGTTAAAATCTGGGAAAAAAAAAAAAACAAAACTCATTTATGGTTATTATTTTTCATGTCACCGTTATGCAGGAGTTCTTATTCACTTTACAGTTATATAAATCAGGAAACCAGTGAAGAAATAACTGCCTGAAGAAACCCTCATGAGGGAGCAAAGCATAATCTGCCATAACAGAGACAAAACAAACCTGTAGCCCAAGCTGTGAACACAGGCACTGCATTAAACAATGGATATACATATTTACCCACATCTCTATTACACATGCATACATCCTTACATAGCCATACTTTCTATTACAGAAAATACTGCAGAAACCTGTGATAAACTTATGTTACTGGAAGCCTTTAACTACCTCACTTATCATTGCATCCATCCACACTGGCATAAATTTCTCACACATTGCAATAGCCTCATGGTAAAACAGAATACCATTTCTCCAAGTCCCTTCAGACTCTGCATTTATTTTTTCTGTATCTCACATAGTCACTGATCCAAGTAGTGGAAACACAGTTAGTTATTTCATTTTTCTACTTTGATTGCACTTGGAAGTGTTACCTATGCTTCATACTGGACTCTGATAACTCTTGGTTTTGCTGGATATTAAGGGTTTGGGTTTTGTTGTGGTTTTTCTGTTTGTTTTGTAATGGAATGAACTAGATTGTGGAACAGACTGGAATTTGATAAAAGAGGTCTGCACTCACTTCATCTGATTTGCATTATGGTCCCCCTTAGCAGTTGCCTTATAGTTAATTATCTTCTTAATAGGTTCTTGACTGTTTACAGATATTTTACTGGTATGTTGCAGATCAAGAGACTCAGAATATGATACATACTTCTCCTCTATGAATTTCATCCTTTGACTTCAGAGTACAACAGAAATTGCTTCATTTTCCAGGAAAGTAAGTCCAAAGCATAGTCATCAGAATACAATCTTCTTCTCTTCTCAGTATTTTCTGTTCCCTTCCTTGCAAACATCCCTTTATTAAGTAATTGAGACATAAATAGAGGTCAGGTTCCTCTTCCAATGGCTGGATTGGTTGAGGATAATTATTTGGAGGACATGGATACTTTAATGACAATTGTAAGAGCAACACACAATGGCAGTAATAACATAACTTCAAAAGCACACTGCATGCCATATAAGTGATGCTCTAAAATCTCTGAACAGCCATAACATAAATAACAGAAGTAATATAAACATGAACCATCTAAGATTTAAGCAGTAATAAAAGACAAGGTGGGTGCTAAAGAGACTTCTGAGAACCTTCAATAACTTCAGTACTGATAGAATCAGTATTGCTTACTTGGATCATTGGGGCAAATCTAATTCTAGTGCTAAAACTGTTGCCCCTATTTCTGGTATAGATGCCATGAAATTTTAGATTAAAAAAGTTCAAATGTAGCAGCATAGCTGCAGAGAAAGCTAAGTTACGAAGCAATTAATAACTATTTCACAGATGCCACAGCAAGCGCAAAAATAGTTTTTTGAAATTCTTCCCTCCCTATCTGTTGCCTTCCCTTGTTCTCTTTCCATGGCCTGCTATTACATCTTCAGAAATTCTTGCATTTTATTTTTCCATTTAGTCAGGTAAGAAAGGTATTAGCAGATAATTATTTGGCTGCTCATTTTCACTTCAGGCAGTCAGGGAATGGAGTGATCCTGAAAATAAAATGTTTCTTTGGAGACACATTTATATTGTAAAAGTAGCTATTAGAATATTTTTTTTATGTTGCAGGATATCAAAAGAAATGTGAAGAAAGCCACAAAATATGTAAGAGTTAATTCTAACCATTGTAGAAACTCTTGCATTTTGCTGTTCACTGCTATTTTCATTGATATCACATGCATAAAATCATAGAATTTTCAAATCATTTACTATGAGTCTTCTCCTCTCTAAAGAAGATTTACTCTTGCCTTCAATGCAAAGATAGCAAATATGTACCCAAAACTACTGGTAATAGGGTATAAAAAGTTGTAACCAGACATGTTAGGTGTGGTAGCATCCATACAAGTTATATCCTTTCTGTAACAGTGTATGAACCTACAAGCCACAGTTACACTGGAAGTTTCTTCTTTGCTATCTTGGACATCAGAACTCAATAAGCTCTACATTAGGCAAATCTCACTATTGTGAGACCCTGCTTTTGATGCAAAAACAATACATCTTCTAAAGGTGTCTAACCTGAACAGAAGTTGAAAACAATGCCAAAAAGGATAATGGATACAAGCCTGGATATTAAGCTGACAGTCTGTAAAAGGTGTGCAATTTATAGAACCATAGAATTTCTTAGGTTGCAAAAACACTTTTAAAATCATTGAATCCAACCCTTAACCCAGCACAGCCAAGCCAAACAGGGTTGAATTCCCTACATTAAGTCCCTAAGTGCATCAGCTACACTTCTTTAAAATACCTCCAGGGAAGGTGACTCTATCACTTCCCTGAACAGCCTGTTCCAGTGCTTGACAACCCTCTTGGTGAAGAACTGTTCCCTAACATCCAAGTTAAACCTCCTATGGCACAGTTGGAGGTTTTTTACTCTTTTCCTGTTGCTTGCTGCTTTGGAGACAACCCCAGCTCACGCACTCCTAGAGTCTCCTTTCAGATGCTGTGGAGAGCAGTAAGGACCCCCACTCAATCCTCCTTTTCTCCAGACTAAACAACCCCAGCTCCCTCAGCTGCTCCTCACAGGACTTGTGCTCCAGACCCTC